CTAGAACACGAGGTACTGCCTAAATACTTCTAGAACACGAGGTACTGTCTAACTACTTCTAGAACACGAGGTGCTGTTAAACAAGGCGTTTTAATAACACAGACCCTAGAAGAAGAAACAACCAGCAACAGAACAGCAGGTGCTCACCTGTCTGACTCTCCTCAGGTGGACAACTCCTCTGTAATTGAAATCGACTTCATCCGCTCCGATATCTTTGAGGAGGTGTTGAACTACATGTACACAGCCAAGATCTCAGTGAAGAAGAGAGACGTCAACCTCATGATGTCATCGGGACAGATACTCGGCATCCGCTTCCTCGACAAGCTCTGCTCTCAGGTAACACACACAGACACACAGGTAACACTCGGGTAACACACACACACACACACACAGGTAACACACACAGGTAACATACACACAGGTAACATACACACAGGTAACATTACATTACAGTCATTTAGCAGACGCTTTTATCCAAAGCAACTTACAATAAGTGTATTCAACATCGGTTTTCGAGAGAACTACTAGTCACCAGAAGTCACAAGTGCATCTCCTTTCTTCAAACAAGCATCTAAGAGCATAAACCAGAGCCAACGTACAGTGCAGAAACAAATGAATGCAATAAGTGCCACAAACTAATAAGAAAACAATAAGTGCAATAAGCAACTATGAATACAATAAGTGCTAAGTGGAAGGCTCAGGGTAGTACTTCTTGAAGAGGTGAGTCTTCAGCCTGATGAAAGATGGGCAGTGACTCTTCTGTCCTGATGTCAGTGGGGAGTTCATTCCACCACTGTGGGGCCAGGACAGAAAACAGCTGCGACCGGGTCGATTGGCCGCAGGGACCTCTGAGCGACGGGGCAACCGATCGCCCTGAGGCAGCAGAGCGAAGTGGTCGGGCGGGGGTGTAGGGCTTGACCGTGGCCTGGAGATACGAAGGAGCTGTTCCTTTCACTGCCCTGTAGGCTAGCACCAGAGTCTTACACTGGATGCCAGCTCTTACAGGGAGCCAGTGTAGAGAACGGAGAAGGCAAGTTGTGTGGGAGAACTTGGGGCGATTGAATACCAGGCAAGCTGCAGCTTTCTGGACAAGCTCCAGAGGTCTGATGGCCGGGGCACCGGCAAGTAGTGAGTTGCAGTAGTCCAGGCGGGAGATGACAAGAGCCTGGATGAGCACCTGCGCCGTCTCATCAGTGTGGAAGGGGCGAATCCTCCTGATGTTGTAGAGCAGGAATCTGCAGGAGCGTGTAACCGATGCAATGTTTGCTGAGAACGACAGTTGGTCGTCCAGGGTCACACCCAGACTCCTCGCAGTCCGAGTCGGCGTCACCACGGTATCGTCAATGGTGATGGAACAGGTCTCTGTGCGGGCAACCCTTCCCCGGGAGGAACAGTAGCTCGGTTTTGTCCAGGTTGAGCTTGAGGTGGTGTGTCGTCATCCACTTCGAGATGTCGGGCAAGCACGCAGCGATGCGTGCCTCCACTTGAGTGTCCCCGGGGGAAATGACAAGACCAGCTGGGTGTCATCGGCATAACAATGGTAAGAGAAGTCATGCGAGCGAATAACATAACCCAGAGATGTTGTGTAGAGCGAGAAGAGAAGGGGGCCCAGGACTGAGCCTTGTGGAACCCCCGTAGTTAGCATGTGTGGTTCCGACACGGCCCCCCTCCACGTCACCTGGTAGGATCGACCTGACAGGTAGGATGCAAACAAGGAGAGTGCAGAGCCTGAGACGCCCATCCCGTCAAGGGTGGAGAGGAGGATCTGGTGGTTCACAGTATCAAACGCCGCAGACAGGTTCAGGAGAATCAGGACAGAGGAGAGAGAGTTAGCTCTCGCTGCGTGAAGCAACTCCGTCACCGCAAGGAGGGCTGTCTCAGTCGAGTGACCGACTTTGAACCCAGACTGGTGGGGGTCCAAGAGGTTGTTTTGGTGGAGATAGGAAGACAGTTGAGTAAAGACAGCGCATTCAAGTGTTTTGGAAAGAAAGGGTAGAAGAGAAACCGGTCTGAAGTTGTTGACATCAGAGGGGTCAAGTGATGGTTTTTTCAGAAGGGGGGTGACTCTGGCAGTCTTGAAAGCCATGGGAAAGCATCCTGAAACGAGGGATTTGTTGATGAGGTGGGTGAGGAAAGGAAGGAGTTCAGTCGCAATAGACTGATGAAGAGGGGAGGGGATCGGGTCAAGGGAGCACGTGGTGGGGCGGTTAGATGTAACAAGGTTGAGGACCTCGTTAGGGGAGAAGGGAGCAAGATGGGGTAAGATGGGGCATGGAGAGGGGAGGGAGAGCTGTGGGGGAAGAGAGGGAGAGGATGGACAGGGACCGGGGGGCTGAGAGAAGGAGGAGCTGATATCGTTTACCTTCTTGTCAAAGAAGTTGGCGAAATCGTCAGGGAGAAGGGAGGAAGTAGGAGGAGTGGGTGGGGGTTGGAGGAGTGAAGAGAAAGTTTCGAAGAGTTTTTTTAGGATTGGAAGCAGAGGTTAGGATTTTGGAGCGGAAGAACTCGGCTTTAGCAGTAGAAAGAGTGGTGGAAAAAGTGGAAAGAAGAGCTTGGAAGTTAAGAAGGTCCCCAGGGAGTTTGCCTTTTCTCCATTTACGCTCAGCCTCTCTTAGGCTCCGTCTGTAAGTACGACAGCCATGGGGCAGGTGGAGTTGGCCCTGCAGGCCTGGAGGTGAAGGGACAGAGGTTGTCCAAAGAAGAGGAAAGGGTGGAGAGGAGAAGGTCAGTATCAGGGGATAGGAGAGAGAAGGATTCAGGGTCAGGGAGAGCAGAGGTAACAGAAGAGGAAAGATCAGCGGGGAGAGGGAGCGGAGATGACTACGGGTAGAAACCATGTGGGTAGGTGGAGGAAGTACGGGGGGAGAGGAGAGAGAGTAGGACATGAAATAGTGGTCAGAGAGCTGGAGGGGAGTGACGGAGAGGTTAGCAGTAGAACAGTGTCTAGTGACGATAAGAGGATGAGTGCTGAGCCATCGTCATGGAAGTGCGAGACTAGTCTGTCGAGATCTTCCAGGAACTCACCAAGAGGCCCCCGGTGGGCGATACACAACAGCAATGGTGAGCTTGACCGGATGAGTGACAGTAACCGCATGAAATTCGAAAGAGGACGAGGAGAACTGTGGAACAGAGACAAGAGTGTATTTCCATTTTGGGGAAATTAGCAGGCCAGTACCACCACCTCGCCTCACAGCTCTGGGAGTGTGAGAGAAAGAGTACACTTCTGATAGAGCTGCAGGTGTGGTGGTGTTTTCTGGTGTGATGCAGGTCTCAGTTAGAGCAAGAAAACTGACAGAGAGCAAGGAAGCTTAGCCCGAGATGAACTCCGCTTTCGGCACTGCCGACTGGCAATTCCAGAGCCCCCCCGGCACCACTCGCTCAACATGAGCTGAGACAGTAGGAAAAAGTCGCCCTGTTGCCTTTGTTTGCCAGACGCTTGAAAGCTGACTCTTCCAACCTACAGTGCTTAAGGACAGCAATCTACTGATTGTCTGCCAGGAGTGCAGGCTCCTCCCTTGCAATTAGCAAAGCTATTCAGCAGCTGAGACTAAGGCCATGTCCACATTACTCCATTTTTGCCACGTTTACACTGAGCAGCCACACTACGCAGGAGTTTTGGAGCACCCTAAACGGAGGAGTCTGAAAACACCCCCGAGGTTGGAGGTGTTTGAAAACTCCGGGGTTGCGTTTGAGTGTGGACGGTCGGAAACTGATGTGTTTAGAAAAAATTACGCCCACACCCGTGTTCGCTACTGGATTGGTTCTTAGCAACCATGACGTCTCCGTCCCTGATTCGTCACTATCACGTGACCCGTACCCGGAAGAAAACAAACAGGCAGGGCGACCAGCGATTCATTTCAACATGGATAACTAATTTCAAGCGTTGCTGCTAGCACAACAGCTAGCAGCTAGCTGCTTCGTTTTACTTCTTCCGTTTGGTAGCCTTGAGAGACCTTAGTCTGTAAGTATGTCTTTATAAAGCATGAAAAGATGTACGAAGATATATTCTATTCGCTCTTTTAGTATAGCATTTGTGTTGTATTAAATTAAATATATTAAATTAACACTCAGGTAACACACACACACTCAGGTAACACACACAGGTAACACTCAGGTAACACACACACACAGGTAACACTCATGTAACACACAGGTAACACACAGGTAACACTCACACAGGTAACACACTCGGGTAACACAGACACAGGTTTATCTGTGTGTAGTTAATGTGTGTGGTTTACCTGCGTGTTAACCAGACAGGTAAAGCTCCTCCTCCTGTGTGATGATACATTCATGTGTCCTTAGAAACGAGACGTGTCCTCAGAGGACAAAGACAAGTTTCCTTATGACATCGTGAAGATGGCGCTGCCCCCCGAGGCCCAGCTGGCTGCTGATGCAGAGGTACTAATTATTCATTATTAATAATCAATGAGATCAAACCAGCTTCAACGTGTTACATTATAATTGTGTGTGTGTGTGTGTGTGTGTGTGTGTGTGTGTGTGTGTGTGTGTGCAGGTGCTCGGGGAACACGATGACACGCCCACCACAGATGACCTCGTTGAGGCGTCGGCCAATCAGGAGCTGGATAAGTCTCCCAGTGCGGCGCTGCGTGTGCAGGAAGCCATCTTGAAAGAACTGACCAATGAGGACGTACACAAGGTACACACAGGTGTTCTACACACACAGCCCACACTCCCTGAACACAGGTAACCACATCATGTGACCTCTCCAGGTCACCTGCTACGACCAGGATGTGGACATGGAGGCGGAGCCTAAAGAGCTGGGGGCGGAGCATCACGCCACCCAGACGCTGACCTTTGCAGAGAGCATCGGGGAGGTGAAGGATGAGCAGACTCCAGGATGGTCCACGACCACCACGGACATGAAGTTTGAGTACCTGCTGTACGGGACCAGAGACCAGCTTGCGTGTCAGGTGTGTGGGAAGACCTTCCTGGATGAGAGCCGGCTCAGGTATGTACACCTAACAGGACCAGTACACCTAACAGGACCAGTACACCTAACAGGACCAGTACACCTATCAAGACCAGTACATCTATCAGGACCAGTACATCTAACAGGACCAGTACATCTAACGAGACTGCCACCCCTGATCTCTCTGTCTTCAGGAAACATGAGAAGCTTCATTCAGCCGAGCGTCCGTTCGCCTGTGAGATCTGCACCAAAGCTTTCACCACTCACGCTCACCTGAAAGGTAACAACACCCCTGAGCTGTGATGTCATCAGATACAGTGTGAGAGGAAACGCATGATGGACGTTTTACAGGTGATGTTTGTTTCACTAAGCGCTTGGCTCCGCCCTCACCTGTGTGTTTCAGAGCACCTGAAGATCCACACGGGCTTTAAACCGTACAGGTGTGACGTTTGTGGGAAATCGTTCATTCGAGCTCCAGACCTGAAGAAACATGAACGAGTTCACAGCAACGAGAGACCGTTCGCCTGCCAGATGTGTGAGAAGGTGAGGTCAGCTGTCTGTCTCTCCCCTGTTTGATTGAACACCTGTCTGTCTGTCTGTCTCTCTGTTGAACACCTGTCTGTAGAGATTACTCAAGATGGCGCCGCGTACGGCTGCCTCGGTGTGTTGGTGCTCATTGTTTTGTGTTGTTTTTGTTGTAAATACTGTTTTCTGCTGTGATACCCGGAGCTCTTTCACCAGAGATGAGCTCATGAACATCAGGGGAACAACTCCAGCGGACTTACTTCCAACTTTTCTTTTAACTTCAGTGGAATTACTGGACATTCTTGTCAAAGGAATTCTTTCAGGAAGAACGTAGCCCCACCAGCCCCTATCACTGTGTGTGACTCCCCCTTTGACGCTGTGGAGTCCTTCCGCTTCCTGGGCTCCATCATAACCCAGGACCTCAAGTGGGAGCTGAACATCAGCTCCATCACCAAGAAGGCTCAGCAGAGGATGTACTTCCTGAGGCAGCTGAAGAAATTCAACCTGCCAAAGACAATGATGGTGCACTTCTACACTGCCATCATTGAGTCCATCCTCTGCTCCTCCATCACAGTCTGGTACGCTGCAGCCACTGCCAAGGACAAGGGCAGACTGTAGCGTATCATTCGCTCTGCTGAGAGGGTGATTGGCTGCAATCTGCCGTCCCTCCAGGACCTGTTAGCTTCAAGGACCCTGAAGTGAGCAAGAAAGATTGCAGCCGATCCCTCTCACCCTGGATATGAACTGTTTGTGCCCCTTCCATCTGGTAGGAGGCTGCGGTCCATCAGGACCAAGACCTCACGCCACACAAACAGTTTCTTCCCGTCCGCAGTCGGGCTCATCAACAAAGCCTGGGTTGTCATCCCCAGGACATTTCCTTCTGGTCTCTCCCCTGCACATCCGTTTCTTTATTTAAACACACTCATCACTTTTAACTTTTCACTTACACTTCACTTGTTTTACAGTCCTGTTATCTGTTTTGTTGTGTACTTTATTCTATATTTTATTTTAATATGTTTCTATTTCTTGCACTGCGTTCATTGTTGATAGTTTAATGTTATTGTTTATTGTTAAATGTTACGCACCACCCGCCACGACAAATTCCTTGTAGGTGCAAACTTCCTTGGCAATAAACAGTTCTGATTCTGATTCTGGTCTTCAGGCGTTTAAACACAAGTCTCACCTGAAGGATCATGAGAGGAGACATCGAGGAGAGAAACCCTTCGTCTGTCCGTCCTGCACCAAGGCCTTCGCCAAGGTAGTACTACTACTACTACTACTACTACGATTAATACTACTAGTACTACTACTTCTGTTACAACTCGTGCTTGTGGTGAGTTCAGTGTCACTCTGTACGTTCAGGCTTCAGATCTGAAGCGTCATGAGAACAACATGCACAGTGAGAGGAAGCAGCTGAATCCACTGCAGAGCGACACGGAGACGCTGCAGGCTGCTGCCATGGCTGCTGAGGAGCAACATCTGGACAGCATCAGCTGCTCCTAACATCTGACAAAATCAGCTGCTCCTAACATCTGGACAGCATCAGCTGCTCCTAACATCTGGACAGATGTTAGTGTATAAATGATATTTTCACTGTACGTTTATTGATATTTTTATTATTGATAAGCTGTTTTTTCCTGCTCTGATCAGAGACCATGAACTGACTTTCACCTGAGCTGATGACCTCAGCGACATGTGATAAACATGTTAATACCATGTTATTAACATGTTAACGCCTCTGGCTTCATGTATGATTTGTCATGTTGTCTCTTTGTAAATGTACAGATTGATTTTGAAGCTCTTGGTTTGTGTTGTATATAAAGTTGTTGTTCTGTTCAGTTTCATGAGCAGAGCTGCTGAGTTTTAAACCAAACATCTGTTTTATTTCTTTATATTTCATCACTTACATACAAAATAAAATCTTTTAAAATGTCTTTCATTTAAAGTTTAAAATCGATACAAATAAACAGATGACAGGAAGCGAGTCAGGGTTTGATCAGCCAATCACATTGAGGATTCACTCTGTAGACGTCCAACAGCACGACGTCGGGATGGAGACGCCGCTCACCTGAGAGACAGACGGACGGACAGACAGACGGACAGAGAGGTTTTAACATCCTTTGATATTTAAACAACACATTCCTATAATAAACCTGGGCAGTTGATCAATATTACATGATGTGTACATGTTTATATGAAGTTTACATTTTGTTTACATGTGTACATCATGCATACATGAAGTTTACATTTTGTTTACATGATGTTTACATGTTCACACTAACTTTACATGTTCGCACTAAGTTTACATGATGTGTACATCATATTTATATGAAGTTTACATGATGTTTACATGTTCACACGAAGTTTACATTAAGTTTACATCAAGTCGACATGTTTACATGAAGTTCCATGTTTACATTAAGTTTACATGTTTACGTTAAGTTTAGATGTTTACATGTTTACGTTCAGTTCACATGTTTACATTAAGTTTACATGTTTACATAACGTTTACATGATGTTATAATCAGACTCACAGATGTTTCCTCCGACTTCATACAGATGCTGAACAGAACTGCTGGTAGAGAGAAACACAATGATAGATTATCAACTTGTGTGTGCGTATACGTGTGTATGTGTGTGTGTGTGTGTGTTACCTGTTGATACACTCAAAGCGTGTGATGACATCTTTTGCTCTCATCTGTCCATCAAGCTGTATTGCCATGGAAACCTTAGTGTGCAGGGGGGCGTGAACCCTGATCACACCTGCACACAGCTCTGTGATCTACACACACACACACACAGGTGTGATGTCATACACCTGGTTCTCTTACCTCACCTGGTTCTCTGATCTCACCTGGTTCTCTTACCTCACCTGGTTCTCTTATCTCACCTGGTTCTCTGATATCACCCGGTTCTCTGATATCACCTGGTTCTCATATCTCACCTGGTTCTCTGATATCACCTGGTTATCTGACCTCACCTGGTTCTCTTATCTCACCCGGTTCTCTGATATCACCTGGTTCTCTGACATCACCTGGTTCTCTGACTTCACCTGGTTCTCTGATATCACCTGGTTCTCTTATCTCACCTGGTTCTCTATCACCTGGTTCTCTGATCTCACCTGGTTCTATCACCTGGTTCTCTGACTTCACCTGGTTATCTTATCACCTGGTTCTCTGATATCACCTGGTTCTCTGACCTCAACTGGTTCTCTTATCTCACCTGGTTCTCTCACCTGGTTCTCTGACCTCACCTGGTTCTCTTACCTCACCTGGTTCTCTTATCTCACCTGGTTCTCTTACATCGCCTGGTTCTCTGACCTCACCTGGTTCTCT